TTCTTCAAGAATACAATATAAATGTCAGCATACAAAGTGTTCTGTATCAATAAGTACGACATATCTATAATATGTGTGAGCACCCACGAGTAAATATAGAAGACTTATCATTCATATAGTAGTTCACCTATGAATACATATAAAAAATTGCGACAAAATGTATAACCCACCTATGAATATGAATAGGAGGTTACAAGTGAAGACATGTGACATATAGCAAAATGCAAGCTCCTACATATCGCTGTAGAAGACCCGTCATGTACACTAAGTGTCATCAAGAGCAAATTGCCAAAGGACTACAAAACAAATGGAAATAGCTAAGAATTATTGTAGAAAGCTCCTTCACATATGCCAAGTACTATCCACAAGCAAATACTAAAAAGACTACAACAAAATGAACTTCTACGAGCCATCTTAAAAGACTCGCAAATGTCTAAAATGCCCCATGCACGTGCACCATAATTTGTATACACATAGGTACACATAAGGGGATGTATAATAAACATGCAAGGTCCCCGGCGAGCGTGTTATTAGTACACACGTGGCGTCTAGGGATGCTGCACGGGTCAATAAGTGAATTCAAGTTTGAACCCGATCTTTTTATGCGGATCAATAGGAGCCACAGGGTTCGAATCATCAAATAAATATACGACTGCGGCGACCGGAGTATCGGAGGTGTATCCGTGTATCGGTGTATCGGATACAGCACGCCTTCATAAATAGGTGTATCGGTGCAACATAGCTTGGGACCCATTAAATTGGTGCCAAGAAGTAGGAGATTGGAAGGAGATGTGAAGGAGAAGTTGGGGAATCTATCCCCTCTAGTTCAATAATGTCTTCCATCGGATTTTGGAATTGTAGAGCTAGGAAAAGTAAAGCTTCTCTATATGTGAAGGAGTTTATAAGGGATCATGGGGTTTTCTTTCTTGGTTTGGTTGAAACTAAATTGTCCTTGGTTGACAAGAAGATTGTTAATATGTTGATAGGTGATGAATGGGATTTTTTTCATGTTCCTTCTGAAGGATTATTGGGAGGTATTATGGTGTTATGGAAACATAACATGGCTTCGTTCAACAAGGGCTTAAGGAGAATTGCGACAGTATATGGGAGCAAGGATGTTTATAAAAAGAGGTCCTTATGGGAGAGATTGGAAAATCATTTGTCAAAATATACACCTATGGTGGTGGGTGGCGATTTCAATTGCTTGTTATCTAAGGAGGATAAAAAGAGGGGTAAAAGATTTGCTTTTTCCCTTGGTCCGAAGGAAATGAAGACCTTTATATCTTGTAATGATTTACATGAGGTTGCATGTGTTGGGCTCAAGTATACTTGGTGAAATAACAAAAAAGGAGCTGAAATGATTCTTAAGAACTTAGATAGATGTCTTCTTAACGCAGCTGCTTTGAACTCTTCTCACCGTTTGATGGTGAGGCATTTGGCTAGACTTGCTTCAGATCATTTTCCAATTTTGTTAAATTTATTGGAATTTAAACCATCATATAAGAAGATGATCAAATTCGAAGATGTATGGACATCTATTCCAGCTTCTATGGCAGTGGTCAGGGAATCATGGAGGAAAAAAAACTAATGGTGATCCCTCTCAAGTTCTGAATCAGGAAATGAAAAGTTCCTTGAAAGATTTGTATTATTGGAGTAAAGCTAAATTTAAGGCACTAAATCAATCAAAAGAGGTATTGAAAGAAACAATTCTGGAATTGCAAAACAAGGAAGCAGAGGTCGGTTTCTCTCAAAGGAAGATCGGTGGCTTTTGAAGTTGAAAATTGATGATTTGAATTCATCATTGGCTCGGATCAACACATGGTGGAGGCAGCGAGCTAAGGTTAAATGGCTCATTGAGGGAGATACTAATTCAAGGTTTTTTCAAGTGTATGATAGTGTAAGGAGAAATTCAAACTTCATTCACAAAATTAAGAATGAAAACGGGTTGATTGTTGAAGACCAGCACCAAGTTGAAGAGGTATTATTCTGCTACTTCAAAGACAAATGGAAAGATAGGAGATGTTCTATGGAGGGTTGGCCTAAACCGTGGAAGTCTTTAAATGAAGAAGATATGAATATGTTGAGTAGAGATTTTTCTTTTGAAGAAATGGAGAAGGTTATCAAGGAACATGGTGGGAATATTGCTTCGGAACATGATGATATGTCATATTCTTTTTTTAAATCATATTGGCATATTACCAAGTATGACTTATGGAATGCTATGGGTCACTTTTTCAATTGTGGGAAGATGAATGAAAAATTGAAATACACTATTATAGTTTTGATCCCAAAGGATAAAAACCCTTTGTCTCCATCTAATTTTAGACCTATAAGTCTTTGCAATTCGGTTTATAAAATTGTGGCAAAGATGCTTTTAAATAGGTTGTTGCTTGTTATTACTAAGTTAATTTCGGAAGAGCAAGTGGCTTTTTTGAAAGGGAGGTCGCTCTCGAATCATATATTGGTGGCTCAAGAAATCTTCCACAAGTTTAGGCATTCAAAATCTATTAAAGGTTTAGTCTCATTCAAGATTGATATGGAGCAAGCATATGACTCAATGGGGTGGCCTACATTGGTTAAAGTAATGGATTATTTTGGGTTTCCTATCAAGTTTGCTAATCTCATTTTGGATTGTGTTTATTTCCCTAAAATTTCTTTGTTAATCAATGGGAACTTTACTAATTGGATTGAAGCTAAGAGCGGGTTTCGTCAAGGTTGCCCTTTATCTCCTTTCTTGTTTATTATGTGTGAACAACTACTTTCAAATGCTTTTCTACAAAAGGGCAATTCAGTTGGGATTGGTAATTCTCCCAAGGGGCCTAAAGTTTCTTATTAACTCTACGCCGATGATATAATCATTTTCTTTGAAGCAAAAATTAAAATGGTTAAGGAAATTAAATGCATTCTTATGGACTTTTGTGGATGGACGGGACAAAAGTTGAACATCAATAAATCAGGAATTCTGTTTGTGAAATTAGTGAGGAGAAGGAAGAGAAAAGCAATATATAGAATCATGGAATTCAAGGAAATCCAGGAATTTTCTTATTTGGGTATCAAAGTGGCATTAAGGAGAATGGTAATAGCAGATTACCAATTCATTTTAGACAAAGCCTTTAGTATGTTGAATGTATGGGGTGGAAAATTAATTTCCTTGGTCGGTAGAATTACTTTGGTAAAATCGGTTTTTCTCTCATATCCAACCTTTCACTCTACTCTCTCTTTGGTTCAAAAGTGTGTTTTGAATGAATTTGATAAGTTGTGTAGAAGCTTTATATGGAATAAAAAGGATGGAGGCGTGGGACTATATTATGTGAGCTGGGATTTCATGTGCAGGCCAAAAAAATTTGGTGCTCAAGGAATTAACTCCTGTTCTAAAAAAACTGGCCCATTAAGGGCCAAGTTGGCTTGGAGATATAGCCAAGAAAGAGATTCGCTAATGCATAAGGTTCTGTTTCAAAAATACGGATCAGTTCTCTGTGAAGATTCTTCTCCCAAAGGAGGTTCGGTGGCTTGGAAATTAATATGCAATGAAGGTGATTTTCTTAAACCTATAGTCAAATGGAGAATTGTAAATGGCAAATCAGTTCACGTCTTTAAGGACATTTGGTTATTGGATAAATGCATTGATAAATGGCCTACATTTGTCAATCCAATGGGAGGTAGTAATCAAACGGTTGATAAATTTATTTGCAACAGAGGTTGGAATGTGAATGAACTTCAAAAATACTTTGGTGAAGAGCTTGTGAACCTGATTATCACTACTCAGATTTCAGCTGGTTGTATAGAAGATCATCTGGATTTCATCCATAAAATCTCTGGCAAGACTATTTCTGCACTAGCTACTGAGGCATTGGGAGATGACTATTCAAATTATTCCGGTTGGAAATGCAAAACTAAATCCTAGAGTGGAAATCTTTAGGTGGAGGGTACTTAACAAGGCTATTCCAACTAATCAGTTTTTGTGTTACAGAAGGTTACAAGGATATGATAAATGCCCAAGAGGATGTGAGGTGGTGGAAGACATTGATCACATTGTTACTGGTTGCAGCAAATTAAAAAAAGTTATGTAGTACTTAAACAAATGAGGTTTCAATATTCCTATTTTCAATTCTCTTGATTCATGTTGTAGATGGATGGATACACAAAATCAATGGATGGTCAATCTCTTTTGCAATACAATTTGCTTATCATGGAGAGCAAGGAATTTGTATGTTCATGAAAAGAAAGCTACCAGCCCTATGATGATTGCAACAAATGCTGTAAGTTATTCTGCAGTTTATAAGTCTTTCATTTGTTTGAACTCAGGTATCGGGGATGTTAATCAACCGTTGAGGTTGTTTAATTGTTGGCATCCTCCTCCACCTGATTGGATAAAAGTTAATATAGACGCTTCCCTATTTCACTCCTACAAGGTTGGGATTGGTGGAGTTTTTCGAGACCACAAGGGGAGGTTCTCATTGGCATTCGACAATGCTTATGTCCATTGGGATATTGCTTCATTGGAGCTTCAAGCAATCCTATCGGTCAAGCATGTGGTGAAAGATTGGATGTATGATTACAAAGGGTTAATCAATGAAGGGGATAATAAAAATGTAATCAGTTTCATTCAGAAAATGGTGGCTAAAGGAGGAAGTGTGTTGGGAGATCTTTCTTTTATTAAGGATTTCCACTTTGTTATCATTAATTGTGTTAATAGGGAAAGTAATAAGTTAGCCGATCTTTGTGCTAACTATGCTTGTTTTAGTTCTTTCATTTGAGATGTAGTTATGAATAAGATTCCTCCTTTTATCAATTTGTTAAAGGAGGAATCGGATGCTTTTAGGATGTAATTTCCTTTTATAGTTTTTAATGAAGCATTTTTCTTTTCTTTCAAAAAAAAAAAACCAACTCAGCTTTTATCACCCTTTGGTTTCCTTCTACGATATTGTTCAATTGGATAACATAATAGTAAAAGCAAGCTTTGCCAATAGCCAAAATAATAAAAACATGACAGGAGACACCTGTCAGAGCAAGCTTTAAGCCTGTCTCAATGTCTGGAATGCTAGGCGCCAGCACGCCTGGGGTGTCCAGAACATAAATGCTAGGCTGATTGGCAATCTGCGAGTAAATTGAACCAAGTATCAGCATACCCAGTTATCATCATTAACACAAATAAACCTGTGGTACAAAAAAATTCGTTATGTGATACTTTTTGCTGCTGGATTTAGTATCCAAGACCAAGGCCCGAAAAAAACAAGAAAGAAAATAACTGGGATAATTAAAAATAAAAGTATAAGCTTTTGAGTACTCAATTCCAACATTGGTTTCCCACCTTTCTTTTGTCAGATTACAAATAGAGCAATTTGTAGAAAAGGTACTTCTTTTGGTCACTCAAATTCAAGATAGAAGATGGTAGTGAAGCCAAACAAATATTATTTAGCAAATATTTTGTCTCACGAGAACAACACTTAAAACTTGAAACCTTTTGTCCATTAAGCACCTTCAACTAAAAGTTAGTTTGAGTTTCAATCTCATTAAAAAGAATATTTGTTATGATGCGGTCTTCGCATAGCATTCGGGCTAGCTGCTAAATGAAGTGCCAAAGTACTGCTTTTTAAGTGTTGACCTCAATAAGTACTATGAGGTCAACCTGACCGAATACAATGAAAACAAGTACTTGCACGCATGAGTAGTCATTAAAAATAGGTACTTCAAAAAAACTCACATAGTTATTATGAACCATTTAATTTTTTCTTAGTACGGTGGAATAGAAAAACTTGCAGCTGCAATTTTATGACAACAATCATGTACGTCTTTTTTAGAGTCGTGGGAAGACCTAGACTCTCCCTAGATGCCCCTATAGGAGAGTGACTGTAATAACCCAAATTTAAAATAATATTAAAAATTTTTGCTTAATTAAATTAGCCCCGAATTATTAACTTCTATTAAAATTTCCAACAAATTAATTTTTCCTAAAAGTTTAATTTATAATTACTTTTAATTACTATTAGCAATAAATTTATGTTAACAAATAAATTATTGTTCTATTAATTTCCATTAGCAGTTATTGTTAAATGACTAAGAAATTAAAAATTACTATAAATTCAATAATTTACAATTAATGATTAAAATAATGTTAATTAGACTGCAATCCTAACATATTAATTAATAGTATTTATGTATTCCACTCAGCCACTCACATAATCGAACAAGCATTAGTCGATCATGATCAAAAGGATGGGAATGTATTTGCATTAGCATATTAGAGAAATCCCGTGATCTGCTCTTCCATTCGGTCCTTCGAGCATCTGTTAAAGGAGGAAGTTTGGTTGCATGTGAAGTTAAGGTGGTGCGGAACACTGGAGCGGAAACAGTGATCGGGTAAACATGAGGAAACTATATCGTGTGAGAGCAGTTGCTCTGGGAGAACCATGGATGTGAGGTAATAGTGACAGTGAGGAATTTTCAGTGGATGAAGAGGAAAGAAAAAATTAATAACGCTTATATTCAAATCATTACAGATATGTATGCAGGAGCTATTACTTGTGTTTAAACACAAGGTGGTTTGACCAAGTATTTTCCGATTTCAGATGGATTACAACAAGGATTAGTCTTAAGTCCATATCTTTTTGCTTTAGTCATAGGTGTAACTTGGAGTTGACCTTCTCACTAGAAATTTGCAAGAGGATTTAACTTGGTGTATGTTTTTTGCTGATGATATTCTTCTTGTTAATAAGACTAGAGAGAGTTACAGGTAAACCTAAATTATGAAGGTCAACCTTAGAGTCTAAAGATTTTCGCTTGAGTAGATCTAAAACTGAATATATGGAGTATAATTTTACTAGTAATAGAGCTAGTGAGGGGATTGTGATTTTGGGGGATCAAGTCATTAATACGAGTACAAGTTTTAGATATCTTGGATCTATTGCTCAAAATGATGATGAAATAGATGGGGATATTATTAGTAGAATTCAAGTTGGATGGTTGAAGTGGAGGAATGCATCGAGCTTGTTGTGAGATAGAAAAGTCCGCCTCAAACTTAAGGGAAAATTCTATAAGATGGTGATGAGACCAGCAACGCTTTATGGAGCTAAATGTTGGCAATTAAAAGAGAAGCATAATACTAAGTTAAGTGTTGCAGAGATGAGGATGTTTAGGTCGATGAGTGGCTTTACCCTTAGAGATAGGATACGAAATGAGCATATACGTGAAAAGGTTGGGGTAGCTCCACTAAAAGATAAGATTAGAGAGAGTCATCTTAAATGGTTTGGTCACATTAAATGGAGGCCTTCCGATTACTCGGTTAGGAAAGTTGAGGTATTGCATTTGACTTATGTTAAGAAAGATAGAGGTAGACCTAAAAAGACTTGGTTAGAAAATATTAGAAATGATCTTTCTCTGTTAGATTTAAATGAGAATTTGACTTTTAACAGGACACAATGGCGAAAAAAGATTCATGTAGCCGACCCCACGTAGTGGGACAAAGGCTTAATGTTGTCATTGTTGTTGAAGAGGAAAATAGAAGGAAAATTTGAGGGGAGAAGACATCGAAGTAAGCAATTTGATTATTTTAAAGTGCTCGAATAGATTTTCAAAGGTTAGTGCAAGTTTCTAAGGAAATTATATTCAATTGTATTTTAGGATTCATCGGGTATATGCTGAGAGGAGGTTACGATGTAAATTGTTATGTTAGTATAACTTGATTTTATGCAATTTATTGAATAATAGATTGTAGAAATTATTAAAAATGGAGAGGTGAATCGTAGGTAATTTACAAAAGAAAAAGGGTACGAGGTGTTGGATTCGTAAAGACAATTCGTCAAAAAGGAAAGTAATGCAATTTTAATTTAAAAAGCAAAAGCTATCATTTATAGACTTGTACATTTGTATTTAACTGTATTAAAGGAAAACATGCATTAAAGTTAATGATTTTGCTTGGGCTATGTTCACAGCCAAGTGTTCAAGTATGAATAACCATATGTTTATAGGTATGAATAACCATATGTTTAAAATTAGATATAGAAGGATTAGATAAATATTTTCCTAATTGAAAATATGTTGGAAAGAAAGCACTAAGTTATGTAATGCATACTTATTCTTTTAATGAAAGCAGTGTAGAAGATGTATCTTGTATAGTAAGCATGAAATATGACAAATCAAGTATCAGTGCATTAACTTTGAAGACTGATAAATATCATATTAGAAAAAAGGTTGGCATTGAAATGAAATAAAACCTGCTAAGCAGGTGAGGAAAAGGGATCCTAATTAGACAAAAGGGAGCTCAATATAGTTCAATAGAGATAATGTCAGGTTTTACCTAGACTCAATTAAATATTATGATAAAAGTTATAAAAGCAAATAATATATAAAATTATAGCCAGAACCTGAGATAACTAATATTGACATTAGCGCAGGCATCAAATAAAATGAAAATTGATCCTGAATATATTTTAAGTTGTTTTACAATTATTTTATTAGTTTAATATCCCTCATTTAATTTCTTATACATAATTTTATGAGTTTCATAACACACCAGTTTTTATTCTGGTTGTTGTCACATGAAAAGGGCAAAGAAAAAGTAGAAGTAGATTAGGATCAAGTATCTTTTGCTTTATATTCTATTGTGTAACAGAGTTAGTAAGTCTACAACAAAATTATATAGATTGTTAATCAATTTATTGTTTTGAATTTTTTAGTGGCTCTATAATGATATTTATGATATAAATGAGACAGTATATATGCTTTCGTTTATTCAAAATATATGTTGTTTTGTGAATGGAATATCTTTATGGAAATGATTAAAGATTTTTTTTTAAGTGGAGTTCTAATAATGTTTATGTTTTTCCCTATTACACCTTTTGTTTGCTAGTGGGTGTTATTGTGGGGTGTCGTAGTGACGTCGAGATGCTGCTTAAATTTATAGTGAATCGAGTATACATAAAACTCAAAACAATAAAATAAAAGAATATTCTAGACCATACCCGTGGTAAATATGATAAAATGAATTAGCACAAATTGCAAAATAAAGATAAAATTAAAAATAAAAAAATGATAAAAAATGCAGCAATGATTGAAAATAAACTTAACTTATAAGAGTCATGATAAACCTAAAAGCTCACTTTTGAGCACAAAACATGACTACACTATAAAAAAAACTCTCCTGAACACTGGGAACCCTTAAAATACACTCAATGAAACAAAATAAGAATAAAAATGAATCAAATTAGCTCCTATATATAACAAGGACCCTTCTGAGTAAAATACAAACCACATAAAGATATATTGCTATTAAAAAAGTATACGAAAGATTCCAATTTATGGCACTCGTAATCAAATCAAGGATACATGCACAAACAAACAAAATGGGAGCAATAATGAACTTAAAAGCAAGTCATGTGACCGTTTAAAAAACAATGCATTTATTTGAGTATTTCAAACAAAGTAAAGTGGTCCAACATATTGCATGTCAGGAGTGTATGTGTCTCAAGTGATGTGCATATTAATAAACCTATACATGCCCCATGAACAAATAAGATTTTCCATAAACAAATCCCTCATGAATGAAACATTCCTAACGATATAAATCAATGCCTTGTTGTGCATCAAAGGTCGCACAACTATTTTTGCAGGGCATGTATGACTCATTAAATCATAGAAAGCAATTTTAACTACACATTCTACAAGTATACAATAAAACTATACAAGAGCATAAATGCATCATGTAAATTCACTTTGTAAGTATGCTAAAAATCATACAAACACATTAAAAAATGCGCAAATGCATCAAAAAATTATAGAAGTGGGCATCACACATGCATCAAGAAATGTGCTAGTGTATTGTGCAAGTACATGCATAAGCGCCAAATCCAAAGTAGTCAGCATGTGCTCTGGCTAAAATAACAAATTTAACATTTGAGAGTGCTAAGTGAAGTAAGCATAATATGAATATGAACTTCATCATCTCAAAACGTATGTAATCATCATGAAAAGTATGTAATGATTTTTAAACTCACCAACTCTTTCTTTTCATCAACAAATAGGCATATTCTCAGGCAGGCTGTCCTACCAATAGTCTAGGCTCCTAAGAGCCACATTTTAAGTCTGATACTCCTTACAAA